TATATATATTTATGTTTTATTGTTAAGCTTAAAAATTGTCTTATATTCTGGACATAATTTTTTTTTTAATGTATTTGGTTGTTGCAGGGTCTCACTATGCAGCTTGGACTTATGGTTATCTTCCTGCTTTCAGCCTCCCCAGCACTGGGATTACAGGCATGCACCACTATGCTAGGACTCTGTGGCCCGCTCAGCCTGCCATGGGCATGGCTTGCACGGCATGTAGTGCCAGGGATCAAACTGTGGTGCCTGCACTTGCCTAAGCAGGCGCTTTAGTCTGCTGAGCAGTCTTACTGGTGAGTCCCTGTCAGACGTCTTTTGCAATTACTTTCTTGCAGACTGTGATAAGTCTTTCTTTTTCTTACTAGAGATTTTAATTTTTATTAAATTTAAGTTTACTTCCTTTACAGATTGTGCTTTCAGTGTTATAAGAACTCTGTACCTAACAGGACAGTCATGAAGACTGTCCCTAGTATTTCTTTTAGGTTTTATAGTTTTGCACTTTGCCTTTAGTTCATTAAGTCAGGTTCAAGTTCATTTTTATGTAATGATTTTTTTTTTTTTTTTTTTTTTTGCTGGCTCAGGCTGCCTTCAGAGCTGGTCTGGTAAGGCAGGTGGAGTGGGGATCAAACCGGTATGCTGCGGCTGACTGCATTTGCATGAGCAGGCGGTTAAACAACTGAGCTAACTGGGCAGGCCCCCCTCATTTTATAAGCTGTCAGGTTTATGTTGAGGTTTTCTTTTTTGTCTATAAAGTCCATTTGTTTCAACACCATTCACTGAACAGAGGGTCCTTCTTCTGTTGAATTGCTTTTGCAATGTTTTAAAAGTTAAGTATACTTGGGTGGGTCTAATGTTAGATTCTGCTTCATTGATCTGTGTGTCTGTTCCTCTTCCAATACCACACTACCTTGATTGACTTTCTAGTAAAAGTGTGTAGTATCCTACCTCAGCCTCCCAGGTGCTGGAGTTACTACCATGCCTAGACAGTGTTAATTACTTTCTTTCCTTTTGCTCTTGATAAAACTTGCAGGACTATGTTTCACTAAGAATAGTGAAAATGAGCTGGCTTGGCTCATCTCACCTATTAAGGAGGCTGATGTGAGAAGATTGCAAGTGTGAGACCAGTTCCGGTACTTGGCAAGACTTTGTTTCAGAATTTTGAAAAAGGCTGTGGATTTAGCTCAGTGGCATTGGGCTTGCCGTGCATGTGCAGAGCTGTGGATGCAATCCCCAGTACTGAAAAACAACACTGCTGAGAATAGACGTACCTATTTTGTTCCTAATTTTAGGAAAACCATGCTTAATCTTTCACCACAAAATTCTATGTGAGAAATAGTATTTCTGTAGATGTTTTGTAAAGTAATTGCCTATTTTTAGTTTGTTAAGAATTTTTAAATCACTTATGGAGATGGCTTATGTGAGATGCTTTGTCTGCATATATCAGTATGGTTGTGTGATTTTTCTTTTATTGTTAATGTGGTTGACTATTGACCAGTTTTCTTTTTTTAAAATTACTTATATTACATTTATTATTGAAATTACACAATAGGCAAATTTTTGTTTCTTAAATGCCAGGAGTACGATGGAAAACATATATAAAGAAAAATTTCTTTAACTTAAAGATCTTTTTGAAAGTCACCTATAAGGCATGAGTGCATGCTCACGTGTGCACACACACGTATTTATGCACTGAGTAGTATGTTTCTGTTTTCTAGGTACAGAGAGGCCCCTGAAATTGATGAATTTCATTAATCTTTTTCTGGCCCAACACAAGTGCTCAGATAAGACAGGTGCCTAAAATGTGAAGAGACTGTTTGGTAGGTGACTGCTCTCTCATTTCCAGTGTGGAAAGGACCATTTTATCACCTACTATAACCTCAACATTATGAAAAGCCATTAAATTGTTAAGGACCAAATTCTTTGAACTTCTGAGTTTTCGTTTACTGTGCAGGTCCTCTCCCTGGAAGATTCTGGCACTGTGCTAGGTCAAGTGATGCACGAAGAAGAAGTGCCACCAGCTGAATCATTAATTCTGTGTCCAGTGTACCTCTCTGGTCTCCTCACCAAGCTTGCACGAGCCCAGTGCTCAGGCTGAATGAAGGTCAATGACAGAATCACACTACAAAGCAATGCAGCTGCTCAAAACAGCACTTAGCAACCTCGCACTTGAACTTTCTAAGAAAGTCCCCCATTAAGGCAAGAATTGCTCAAGCTGATGTTGACAGTACTCACTGATACTCAACACAAACATAAAGCTATACACTTCACAATTTTAAACACCTGGCCAACTTCAGAAATAAAGCCACCCAATGTATTAATAGACTCACATCTGGCATTTCTGTAGAGAAGGAAAGGGTCCTGGAGTTGAAAATCCAGGTCTTTAGTACTGGGTTCTGTCCTATTTTCCATGCTCAGCCTATTCATAATGGTGAATCCATGCTCTGGAGAAGCAGACCTCGCATAAACAAACAAGGTTCCTTCCACATCAGTCTTCTCCCTTTGTAGGATGTTTAGCTGTATCCCTGACCTCTATCCTGCAGATACTAGCAACACCCTCTCAGTGACAAAATTGTCTCCTGATACTGGGGGCAAAATCAATTCCAGCTGAGAGCCACTGTTCCAAGGACCACTCGTTGGCCCAATGGCCGAAAGTGTACGGAACCACCTGGCTGGCCACGTCCATGATGCGGTTGATATAGGGGTCGTGGCGCTGCAGGGCGGCCAGGCTGATGTCGCACCCCTTGCCTACTAGGCTGCCCGCTGCCACTGCCGCCATCTTCCTCCCTCTGACCAGTTTTCTAATATTGAACTAGTATTATGTGGCTGGAATGAATCCCACTTGTTTTTCCTTTATTATTTTTGTGTATTACAAAATTGTATTTACTAATACTGATTGAGAATGCTCATGAGAGAAACTGATCTGTGGTCTTCTTTGATATACTATCTTTGTTTTTCACATCAGAGTAATATTGATCTCATAAAGTGAGTTGGGAAATGTTTGTTATTTTTTAGAAAATATTGGGCAGTATTGGTTATTATTTCTTCTGTAAATGTTTAATAGAATTAACAAGTGAAACTATTTGAGCCTAGAAACATATTTTTAGAAAGCTTTTAACTATGAATTGAGGGTGTTTTTTTTTTGTTTTGTTTGTAGCTATGTGAAAGCCTCAATGTCTTTTTTTGGTACAGTACACCTTGTTTAGGTGTACTATAATTTTTTCTGATTGTACTATATAGTACAGTACTGTAGTTTTATGTACCATTTTACATTGCAATACTGCATATAAGATTTATGCAAATAAAAGCAAAACCTTCGCACTGGAGTTTCCTTTGAGCACTTCTTTGTTCTGAGTATTGTAATGTACATACTATATAGTGCTCCTCACTTAGTGACCAGTTCATTTGACAAACTAATCATGGAAACTAACTCAGTCCTTAAATGAGGAATGTCTACATGCAGACAGAGAAGGATTGGGGCCCCAAGGACACCAGCACAGAATATGAAACACAGATTTGTCTGAAGAGAGCCTAGGCCTCCAAGCATCTCTAAAGATAAACTGCACTTAAGGTTATACTGTAATTAGCATGACCTGGTCCGGATAGGCAAACGATGTGAGGGGGCTAACCAGAACATCTGGGCCTGTGCTCCCTCTCCTCCATTTTTCAGAATTCTTTTGTTCCTTCCATATGCCCATATGACATGACTTGTTGTATCAATGTTAGCTAAGCAACCATACCTGTAATCCTATAGGTTGATTGTAATTTGACCCACATTTTGATTTTGTTGTAAAATTGCCCTTAAAAGAGCTTCAGTGGCATTCCACATTGGAACCCCTCCTGTTTCTCAGAAACTGTGTATCAATAAACCTTTGCTACTTCGTGTGTGTGTGTGTGTGTGTGTGTGTGTGTGTGTGTGTTGCTGGGGATTGAATCCAGGCCCTTTATTAAGTTTGTAGTATTGAGCTGAGGAGATAGCTTGCCTGGCAAGTGCAAGGACCCAAGTTCGATCCCTGGTACTATATGCTATGCCTCCGTGGTGCACCGTGCTGCCCCAAAACCGGGTATGGTGGTGCATGCCTATAATCCCAGCACTAGGGAGGCTGAGACAGGAGGATCACTATTAGTCTGAACTGCATAGTGAGACTCTGTATCCAATAAAAATTTTTAAAAAGTTTTTAGCATGAGCTGCACTAATAATTAAAGGATATCTTTATTTTTATTTATTTTTTATGTATTTGGTACAGGGTCTCATTACACAGCTCAGACTCATAGTAATCCTCCTGTTTTCAGCCTCCCAAGTGCTGGGATTGCAGGTATGCCCCATCATACCCAGTCTTGTTGGCTGGCTCAGCTCAGAGCCGGCATGGCATGTCTAAGCAGGTGCTTAGTCTGCTGAGTTATCTCACTGGTCGTAAGGACATCTTTAGATGTCTTGTGAGCTTAGGAAAAAGTGTTATGGTTCACAAATAGACTTGTTACTAAATATAAATGTAACTTATTTATATAGTAACATTTAATCAAAACCAATAGATGTAGATCAAGTTTTAAATAGGACAAAATTTAAAGACATGCCAACAATTTTGATCATGCTATATATTTAAGATATAAATGTAATAAATGTTATAAAAAGACATATAGACTTTGGGTCTGCGTACAGTGCTGGCGTAAAGCGCTTTGCATTGTGGGAACTCCTTCCTTTCTGGTTCCCCGGCCATCTTGGCGGCTGCTCCTGGTTGAGGGCCATCCACACCTAAGACAGGAAGATGGTGGCCGCAAAGAAGATGAAAAAATCTCTGGAGTCCATCAACTCTAGGCTCCAACTTGTTATGAAAAGTGGAAAATATGTGCTGGGGTACAAGCAGACGCTGAAGATGATCAGACAGGGCAAAGCGAAGTTGGTCATCCTTGCCAACAACTGC